TTGATGTGGATATGATATCAAAGGATGCAAGAAAATGCCTTAAATGTTTGAGTAGTTCTTGAAGGGATGCATCCAATCTCCAGTGATAAAACTCTCCATTGAGCACCTCTGCTCTTAATTTTCTGATTAGTCATTCTCAAGAGGTACAACCTTCTCTGAGAAAGTCAAGAGACAGCATAAGTTCAAGTTCCAGTGATGCTTTGCCATATACATCAACAATTCCACAGTTTTGATGGTATGAATCAAAAAGTCATAGTGCAGAATTGGTTCATTGAGGTAACTGGATTCACATATAATAACAATTAGGATGTCTGGTGCATGAAAAGGTGCCAGTGTCATCTCTTTACTTCAGCTTGTGTAATTGGAACTGGTTGATTTTCCTCACAGTTTGAGGTCCCTTCTTCTGCAGTACAATCCACAGTCTCTGGCTAATTGACTCCACCTCATTTTGACAGAGTGTGACTTGCACTTAACCTTCCTTAACTTAGTTATGTATCAAGCTGCATAGAACAAGTTTGCTTTGGAGGACATCTAATCCAATTCTTGATCTAAGCATGAGTACTTATTCATCTAGTTTTGAGGCAGAAGAGGAAAGGGAAAAGAACTTGAATAGAAATATTTTCATTTTGTTCCATCACCATGAAATCCCAAAATTAAGGATGAGTGCATTGCTGTTTCCTGCCTGAAGCTGTTGAGGTTTCTATGATCAATGCTGAGTCATATGCATGAAAGATACACCTGCAACACAGCCACAAAAACTGGTATTTCAGATAGCAGGGGTACCATGATTGTCAATATAAAGTTGGGTAAAGTCTGAGGGAGGTATTGAAACATTTGAGTGGCCAGGAAGAAGGCAATTTTGGGTCTGCACTGAAGCAGAACTTTAGAACCCGGTAAAACCTCACCAATGAAAAGGCAAGCATGGTGGCCAACGAAGTACAATTAGTGATGTAGCTGTGAGCCTGGCTCCTGCTGATTTGCAGAGGTCTGTGTAACCAGGCAGATGCTCTGGGAATCAGCCCAGCAACCTCTGCTCCTGTCCTGCTTTGTGACTGCAATGCTTCTTACGAGCCAGGGCTTCAGTCTGTGTGCCACACCTCAGGTCCTCATGCTTTCATGAAATGGGGATGATAGTGCTGCTCTGTCAGAGCAGGTGTTTGGTGAGACACACCAAGACTGGTGGTGTGCTTGCATACAATGGTAAGGCATGCTGCAATTATGTAAGGGTATACAAACACACCTACGCTGTGGCAGGTGTCAGGGTACTCCCAGATTATTGTTAATCTTATGTTTTGCAGATAGGTTACTGTTCTGAAGTCTCTGCCCAGTAAATAGCAGCTGAGAGTGAATAAATGCCAGCAGACATGTATATGAAAGCAGATAGATACTTCTTTCTTTTTAAGAAGTGTGTTATTCAATATCACACATTCTGAAGGGGAAGAAAATGAAACACAGTTGGGCTCACAAAGTACAAACCTCATGGAATGTACAAGACAGTGCACCTAATTCCTGATTAACATGGAAGAATTCTGTGACAGAGAATGATCAGAAGACTGATTTTAATCCCAAAGGGACTATGTTGGACAGAGGCAAAAAAAGAAGGAAAATATGTTTTAAATATTTCAAAGCATCAAAATGCAGTAGAATGCATACAGAATTTTCCTTTGGGAAATTTGGGATGAAAAACTGTCTTCTGGAAAGAAAACACCATGTTTGTTTTGTGATGGGTGTTGGCCATGTCACTTAGTGCACTGCACCACAAATACTCCAAAATTGGCTGAGAAATGAACTCGAACAATCTGGATTTCTAGTAGGTTAAGACTCCCAGTTATTTTATTGTAGCCTGTAAATTAATGTCGTGTAGAAGGAGAAAACCTTTAATTATTAATATTGATCATCTTGTCCACAGTTTTCTGAGAAAAATCCCACATATCTTGCTGTTCATTCACATGCAGTTCACTAATCCCTATGGCACAGGTGAGACTATTCCTGGAATTAATCTTCAGGATTCAGTGACAATGGTCTAGTATTTATATTAAAGTTTGGCTTCTAGCCAGAAAACAGAAAAGATCAAATCCCATATATAGTGCAGTGGTACATTTGTTTGAGAAATGAGAGAAAAAGGAAAATTCTTACTTTTCATAAGTTTATAAGTCCAACCAGGAAAGTCAACTTTAACATAATTCTTATTTTATGGATGAGAGTAGAAGGTAATCTTAGTGCAAAGACCAGACATATCTTGTTTTCTTTCTTTGTTTGAAGTTGTATATTCCTTGATTTTCCTTTTCTTTTGTCACAAATTTGCTTAAATATATATTTTTTAATTTTTTGAGATCAATTATAGTAATGAAGATCTGAAACATTTATTGCTGAATTAGAACAGCCTAACAGGAAGAGCTGAGTCAGAATGAATTAAAATGATTTCACAGAGCACACACAAAGCCTTTGTGTCCTAAGGAATGGCTGAGTAAATAGCAGATATTTGCTTGCTGAATAAAAAATGCCACAAAACAGCCCTGAATGTGCTCTGGCCTCCTGCATTCTCAGTATCAAGAGCCAGGATGTACCCAGCATCAAGGCATAGTTTCGAGAGCTCAAAGCTCCTCTGCATTTTGGTAGTCTGGCTGTTTTGTAGTTTCCTATTCAGATTTTGTGCATAGATGTTTTTGTTGTTTATTCTTCTCACTTTCCCTTTCCATTGCTAGAGGCAATTTTTGTCAGGACAGCAGCAAAATTATGGCCAGAGTTAAGCACTGTAATTCTTATTTTGCTCTCTAAAGTTTCCTGTTTGTTTACTGTCGAATTGGAGGGGCTCCTGTAGAGCCTCCAAATGGCTGGGAGAAGGACTTGATGGGCCCTCAAATAGGGACAGGGAGGAAGGATGGACCAAAAACATTATTAAGCAAGCTCCATATTTGTTAACCCCCTTTTTGTTAAGTATAAATGTGAGAAAATAAACAAATTGAATTTTAGTTTTTCCTGAGGGAAAAAATCAACTGACTAACCCCTTAAATATTTAGAAATTAACTCTATTTTTTTTTTGTTTAAGATAAGGCTGTTTTATATCTTAGTCTCTTATTTCCTAGTCTGTCACAGTTTACATGTACTGCAAATTTGAATGATTGTAAAGGTCTCAAAACACCTATGTTAGGAGCCCTAATGAGTGATTCATGCAAATATTCAGACTACTGGGAGACCCTACATACTTTAAAAAAATATTTTCTGTAAGCATCTGACCCTAATGCTAAGTCATGAAATAACAGCTCTGGAAGCATCTCTGCTCTGAAAAAGAAGTTTCTTAACACAAGCATTAAGTGTTTTGAGATCTGTGTGCATATATTTGAAATCAAATAGTTTAAAAATATTATATATGGCATGACTAAGTGTCAAAAAAGTTATTATTATACATTTATGCATACCATATGCCCTTTATAGAACTGGTGGCAAGGAATATTTGTAGTTATTTAGTATTCCTCTCTGTCAAGATAGCCCCCCCTCCATCATTTTCCTGGTCTTTTATGGAAGGTGTATTGTAACATACAGTCACAGTTTGCAATCGGTAAAACGATGTGGTGCAACCTTTACCCCTATTGCTTTCTAAGGTGTAATTATAAATAGGGGCTGCACCAATGCCATCAAGCATATGTGAACCGCCTGGAATTAATTCTCTCTTTCCATCACAGAAGATGCAACTTAAATGCAAAAAAAATGCATCTTGATTAATCTTGTTTTCTTGTCAGACATGAAATATCATCATTATCTCATTTTTTTCCACTTTTCCGAAATATCATTAGTGATCAAATGAAACTATTTGCATAGAATCAAAATGTAAAATTAAAGAGCCACAAAACATAATTCTAGTGCTAACTATATATTTTCTCAAGGATTTTTTCAGTATTTTAATTGTCCACTAGAGAAGATTTACATAGTTTAACTGAAATACAAGAACTGTGGTCTGTATTTCTGTGTTTCTTTAAGAAAAGCAGGAGTTTCTTAAAAAAATCCAAACATGTAAATAAAACTTTCCAACTGTTATTGACAGCAGGCTATATTTCATACTGTCTTCCTGACAAATATTTAGATAACATTGAGGAGACTTATCTTTTATAATTTTACATTCTTTGCATTTAATTAACAGGCCTGACATAAAATTAGAAGGTCATTGACTGGAGCACACACAGCAGTTGTAATGTTAGCTTTTAATTCAATTATGCAAATATCAAAGCATAGATGGAAAAGTTAATGAAAAACCTCTTCCAAAATTAAATACATTCCCCAAAGCTCTAAATCTTTTGAATATGAGACTAACTAGAGAAAATCACATCACCATCTTTTCTTTTTTATTGTTGAAGTAGCTTTATAAATGTTGTGAACTTTTAAATGTTTTTAAATAGACCAATAGTTAGCTGATATAGTAAGTACAGAGAAGTTCCCTGTATTTCTGTTTTCTTGCAAATTATTTTATAGTTATTATTACATTAATCCTTACTGGTATTGTCATTTTTTGTATATTTACTAGTACGGTGTATTCTTCCACAATTTGTCTATCTAGAAGTTTTTGAAGTTGTTTTTAATAATCAGAATAACTGTCTTCACTATTGAATGCATATATATTTTGCTACTTTCTCTTCATTTCAGTGATGAAAGACCATCTTTAACCGTGTCAACACTTAGATGATCTTTCAGCCTTTTTTCACCTTCTATATATTTATCTTGCAGATAATATTTTTTCATAACAGAACATGTTCAGGTAGAATGAAGCTAAATGGAATCTCTTACAAATATTGTAAAACCTGCAAAACACATATAAGAAATAATGCCAATATTTCCTTTTTCAGCCTTACAGCAGTATCAGTTCTGTAGTGTCTCGAGTTGAGTTGTCAAAACACCGCATTCTAAACTAAAAATTCTGCAATATGAAAGCCCTTGATCTTGCAAATATTTTGTTTCTCAACGTGTGCAAAGTAAAATTCATCTAAATCTTTAATATATGAACTTACCTCTGCTTCCCTGAACTTGGAGAGCAAGGCAAATGATCAATAATATTAATCCAGTTTTCAAATGCATACTGTCTGTTGATCATTCAGTTTTCAAGACCAGTCATGCAGGAAACAAGAATATTTTGGTCAAGCAGAAGAATTCTGTTTTCTTAGAGAACTAAGATCCCCAAATGTCTTTATTTTTCAGGTGTCTCCAGCCTTGGACTGCATTGAATTGCAACTAAGCAGAGTGCAACAGGTGCCAGAGTGCAAGAGCTGGGCGAGCCCCTCCAATGCCCACACTTCTAGCCCGGGGAGCTGGAGTGGTAAGACAAGAGTGACGAAGTTTTAAAAAAAAGCAGTGTCTGTTTCTGGAATAATCTGTTTATCTGCTGCTCAGACATAATCCCTCTTACGGTCCAGCTGGAAGAGCTTTCTTCATCTTATTAACCTTCTGGAGCGGCATCTGTCAACCCCAGAAGACTTCACCAGTGCCATGATAAACAACGGAAGTCTCCTAGCTCCCATTGCCTTTGAGCATTGATCCTTTGGGCATGCTGGAGGTATGGCATGTGAGCACGGGGAGACAGCTGTGCTGTGTCCAAAGCAGTGACCATAGGGATGGTCACCAGCCCCAGAGAACTCCCTTAAGATAGATTTTTCCTGAGAAAACACCCAACGCTCAGCTCTTCCGCTGCCTGTGCCTCGCAGTCCTCTCTCCCTCCTTGTGCCACAAGGCTGCTGTTGCAATATTCCTGTCGGAGCAGTGATGATGATGCTCTGTGACAGTGGTGAAGTGATGACTCAGCAGTAAATTGCAGCAGTGCTCAGGGCTGGCACAACCTGATGCCAAACTGTGACTGGGGCAGGGAAAGTGCTGCACAGTGGGAGGAAAAGAGAAAGTGCTGGGAAATGCTGTTTCAGGCACACAGCTCTAACTAGGCCAAGAATTGGCAGTGACTGAATTCACTGTTCCAACAGCTCTGCTCCAGTTTCACAGATAACTATTCCAGTTACATGTTGGCAAGTTTAAGTGTTCCATACTTACCCTATTATTTTCCAATACCTGTTTTTACTGTTGCATTACACCTGAAAGTGCTACTGGGTAGGCATTTCTAGTGGTCTCCCCCCATTAAAAAATTTTGACCAAGTGCTTTAACATAAAAAGTATCTAGACTGGCAGCAAGAGTCTGTAAGCACAAGTTACTTAAAGAACAACCTTCATTTGAACCCAATTAGCATTCTATTTTTACTTAGGATTTAAACAATGGTAACCTTCCTCTCTTTCCAAGATTGCCTGATTTTAACAACTCAGACCAGCTACCATGCAGACTTGGCTGGGACCAGATAAGGTTTGCCTTTTTTTAGTATATAAACTTTCATGCACATTGTTTTATTGGTTCAACAAAACAAATTAAAAATACCTTGCCAGCAGCACAATGCAAAGTGGAGATGATTAGGGTTTCTACTGAAGCAAAATTTATTACTGTATAAGGATCATTCTTTAGTAGTACCAATATTTGTCTTTACATGTTTTATATATAATAATGATGTTATATAAAGTATAATTATAGAAATATTACCTGTATCAACCAGGTAAGCTTTAGCAAAAATTTATATGTGTGTTATATTTGAAAGATGAAGCTCCCCCCCTACCTTGTTACCTTGTTTTTTGCTACTTCAGTTTTCAATCTACAACAATTGCAAGCAAAGGGAATTTTTCTCAGGGTGGTGGAGTCTGCCATTTCTGGTGTCATCTGAGAATGTGGAATTAGTGAAAGGTAGATGATTTCCTCAGAGCACTCTGGGTACCAAACTCCATATGGAATTTGGTAGGAATGTGATCCTTTAATTCTATTAGGAATCTAATTTGTCAGACTACATTTTGAAAATGTGCAATAAAGAGATTTACTTAATTACTCTAGAAACTGGTTGGTGAAGCCTGGGCCAGGAAACAGAAATCCTATATCAAAGCTTTAATATAAAAGGGTATTTTTGAGCCATTCACATGTTGGAGAAGGCAGACATTTAATAACACATTCTTATCTTTCAGAGATAAAGGAACAAGAACAGTCCTAAAATATGGCACTGTTTTTAGTGTCAAGATATGACTTAAGGAAAAGATTGAGCTCTACAGGTAAACTATGATTAAAAATTTGTAGGGCAGGAGTTTGCATACTTTGAGATTATGCTTAAATCATGAATATTTCAAGCTGTTTTCTGCTAAGGCAGTCCCTTCTATGCAGTTCCATTTAATTAAGAAATTTTGTAACTAGCCTTGATAACTGCCACAGGGGAAGCAAACAAGGATGATAAATACTCATTAAAACTAAGCAATATTATCTAGGGACCACTCCATCTCTAAGTACTACAGAGTTTAATTATAGGTCACTTTTAATTAATCTAGAAGTGTTTCTTCTAGTTGGTTTGCTGTCAACAATAATTATATATTGTTAAAAAGGTGATTTAAAAAATTCTACTGAAACTCAATAGTGCATTACAAATATACTACCAAGACCTGGGAAGGGCAAAACTGGATGTCAAAATATCCATTCACCCAGGATAAGTGCTTACAAATGGGTTAAATTCAAGTTGTTACTGGTCATCTGAGTGCATTTCTGCACATACCTAGAATAATCACTGATATGCTGCTTAAATACAGCTAAAACTGTTTACTTTTTTGCAAAAAAAAAAAAAAAAAAAAAAGACAGTTTAGGCTTTCAAGGACTCCATTCAGAAGACCTGTGTTTTAAATTATTGGTAAGTCTGGGGCTCAGGATGTTGCCACATAAAGATGGCCTAGAAGTTGTTTTGCACAGTGCTGAATTTTAGGTACCCTACCTAGGCATGTAAATCAGGGTGCCAGCTAACTCATGTTATTGATAAAAGGAAGTCATATTTTATGCTATCAGCCAGAGTCTATACCATCTGTGTTCCACTTCAGGTAATTTCTGTACCCTGAGTAATTTCTCTACTGGTCTAGCCAACTGTTTTCCTTAAAATTTCCACACTGCATTTACCTGAGAGATGTTTCTCACCCTGGGGAAAGGGAGATAGAGAATTTTGAAGTAAGTTTTAAATAACTTCAAGCCTTTCTCTGGTATTCATTATTTCCATAAGAGGCAGAGATGCTTAGTAACCAACACACACGGGGCACAGCTTCAGGCTTCTGATTAAAAGTGAGGAAACCTGGATTCTTCTGGTCCCTTCTCTGCTGTTGAATTTGGCCAAATCAAGCCTTATCTCTCAGCCTTCTGATCTGCAGGGATAAAGCTGAAAGGCAGATTTAAAAAAAATAAATGATGCGTCATACTCTTATCCTGCAATAGCAATACTGCCTAGTTAGACTAGAAATTTGAATGAGATGGTGGTGAAAGTCATCAGAAGAATGAAAGGATTTCCCTATAAGGAAATATTACCAAGCCTTGAAATCTTTGGCCTGAAAGACAAGTGACATAAAGGTTGAGAGAATGATTAAATGACTCTTTTCCTTGTAAGATGGAAGAAAGAATATACCTAATTTCATTTTCAGGCATCTATTGCCTACCTTTTTCCTGGGCTTTTATATTTTTTGATTTTGGCAGCTTGCTGAGACAAAATAATTCCCAGTTTAATGATGATAATATAAAAATTTTCTTCCTTTAAGAATCAGAAGGAATTTGAGACATTTTTGAACCGTAAAGTCTTCTGGGAATAGGATACACAAGCTCTTCCAGTTGCAACAAAATTAGATTCCACAAAATCAGTCAAATGCACTGAAAGCAAGCTGGGAACTGGGTCACTTTTGTTTTCCTGTTCTTTACGTTATTTCTTTATCCATTTATTTGCCATAAACACAGATAAAACAGTAGATTAACTGAGTCTTTGATCTCATCCATGACTACATTTAGGCACTGAGCTGTAGTCCCTAACTCAGAGTAACTTTCCATTAAAGTCAAGCTTACTGCTCAGACTGAGAGCAAACTTGTTTATTTTCTGTGACACCTCTCTCCTCCAAAACAAGGAGCCTGATGTTCTGCTGTTCTGCAGTTGCAGGGACCATGGTGGAATTCTAGTCCGAACACAAAATTGAAGCAGGTGATGCATGAATGCATTTATTCACTGCCTTTCATGAGCATAACCCTGGGCTACTTCTGCAATCAAAAAATATCCTTTCTCTGGGGCCTTCAAGTATCTTTGCTGTTATGCTATTACTATCATAATTGTGAAGTCCTAGAACCCCTTAACAATTCGAACAGGAAAAGTATTGTGTGCATACACAACGAGTTACCAGTCAATATATTTCTCAGGACTGCTTGACCCCATTACCTCTGCTTTCTTCTGAAACTTTTTTAGACTGTACACTCTTAAAAGGATTAATATACTTAGATGCTGTTCAGTGTGACAAGGGAGATAAGGGTATGGAAAAAGCATGGTAGTAACTGAGCAATTCAGCATAATTTCAGGAAAATCTCTCAGCCTGCTTTAGGATGACCACTGATAAACAAACAATGCTCATGTTGATAGTGATACGACTTTTCTTTGGTATTTCCTAACATTTAAACAGAACTAAAATTATTTTCTTTTTCCTAGTAAGCAGCAAAACAGCAAGCTGATCACTGCTTCCAGTCAATGGAGATAAAGACTCCAGTACATCCGCTCAAAGAGATTATCATTCACTTGCATACCAATACACAACCTTCTGTTCCTCGTGGGGCTGCCTTAAGCTTCTATCCTGGGGAGTCATAAGGAGCTGAAACATGTTTCTTCCTATGCTTGGCATGTTGCTTTTCTCTTGATGCTGGGAAAGGATCTTTCTAGATTTAGCTGATAGAGTAATTGATAGATTTACTGTTCATAAAACTGTCCTCAGCAGGGTAGCAACTTGAACATTGTAGTTATCAGCTTTAAAAAAAAAGAAGCTATCAAATACATCTCTTTATGTGAAAAAAAGCCTGTAGAGATGGGATCTTTTGCCATGTATTTTCTCTAAACAGAAGAAACAGTTTCTTGTACTGATAATGGTAATAGGAGATGTTTAGCAGTGAAAGAGAAAGCAAGAAGGGAGATGTCTAAAGTACTACATGTGCTTGTATCTTTACACTAGCT